CCTAAGCGCTCTCCGTCGCCATCTCTGTCCCAGGCCCCACTTCCTCCGCGGCGTCGTGGCTCCATCCTCCTTCTCCACCATGACCTAGCGCCGGATCCCATTGTGTAGTGCTCCGCCCACCCACCCGCCTGTCAGGGTTTGCTGAAAGCGCATGTTGCAAATGTATATTTCAACTATTTCATATATTTCAGAGGTATGTTGCAAGTGTTCATATGGATGTTGCAAAAGTAGATTGGGATGTTGCATATGTTGCAATGGCAATACACGTATATTGCAAGAGTTTGTTCCAAATGTTTCATCTGTTTTTTCAGACATATGTTGCAATGTATTTATTTGGATGTTGCATATGTTTCACACATATGTTGCAAGTGTGGTTTCTGGATGTTGCATATGTTTTTTTAATAACTTTTCAATTGTTTCAGATTTTTTTTAAGTGTTTCAGACGCATGTTTCAAGTGCTTTATGTGTCTTCGGACGTATGTTGCAAATGTTCCATTTGGATATTTCAAAAGTAGATCGGATGTTGCACATTGCAATGGCATCGGTGGTTAGCGGACAGCAGCCTGCCGCAGGGCTTGGGCTCCTTCCTCGTGCGGCGCGCGTCGCCCTCTCCTCTCCTCTCCCTCCCCTCCCTTCCCTTCCCTTCGCTCAAGCAGTTTGAGCATGATGCCCGCGGATGTGGTGGCCCGACGAGTGCGCGGGAGGTGGTGGCCCTGGTTAGGCTGACGGCGGGCACGATGCTCAAGTGGTGGCCTCGCAGCAAGCTCAGGTTCGTGCCATCCATGCGTACCTCGGGAAACAGAGCAGCCGCGGGTGTTTGTCCGGACGTTTGAGCGCCTAGTTGCCATATTTGGAGACCGAGCAAGCCGAAATCCCAAGGCAAGTTGAGGGGAGTGATAACGACGATAGCGTTTGGTATTTTTTAGTCTACTAGATAGATAGAATATATATATATATATATATATATATATATATATATATATATATATATATATATATATATATATATATATATATATATATATATATCAGGAGTATAGAGCCGTTTACATAAGCAGGGGTAAAATAAATAGATGAACTATATTGGGGTGGAAAGAAGCCAAATAGAGTGGCTTCTCTCTCTTTCTATATTTTGGCGGTTTCCAAAACCGCTTTTCTAGTAGCCAAAAAAATGGCTTCACTAGCATGTGAAGCTCCTTAAATCTATATATAAAGAAAGAAGATAGAGATTCTCTCTTTCTATATATGGCTTCTCCCCTCTTTTCTAGTAGTAACACTATGCATGTGTCTCCGGTCCACGTACGCCTTGTGGGCAAGATTATGCCATGGCCATGCTTATTTATGGAATCGTAGAGGCGCAGAGAGCAAAGATGCGGGATAGAATTTGTCCGCTAAAAATGGTGTTGACCAACTTAAATAGAGTGTGCGGTTAGCGGGTTATTAGGTGTACATGTGGTTTGCGATACTGCCAAATCAGACCGGTATAACTTTTTGCTACATATAGGAGTATGACAATAACTAAGTGTACATATGTGTGAAAAAAAAAACCTATTCGATCGAGAAATGGCGGTCATCTGTGACGCTTCGATTAACAATCGTCTGAAGTCCTACAACATCGTCAGTTCATCACGTCGATATTGTTTATCGTGAGCGGTTTAGTGCTTGCCGCTTAATCCAGCAGCCAGTAGCTTGACACGCATGAACACATAGTGACGTTGTGTCGGACGCCATTGCAACCTTTGATCCAACCTTCTTCATTGGTAGTCCGCCAATGCAGGCCACACTGGTATCAACCCTAACCAGCTCGCTGGAGTTGGGATAAAGGACTAGGAACGCTTATCATGTGAGCCAACCAAAGATCGACGGCTCAAACACCTGAACGTAGCTGTGTATGATAAAGTCAAACAATATGCATGATTTTTTATTAAAAAAAAGAACATAGAGAGTGGAAACACAATGTGCATGCAAATTCATGTCAACCGCACTTTGCCCATCGTTTAGGGCATGTACAACGGACAGACAGCTGTTGTCTGTAAGTTTTTTGGATTTACAATATAGACGACTAAATAGACAGCTCATACAACCCATAGATAATTGTTGTCTATTTGGCTATCTACAAATTATTTAATGCTTGCATGTAGCCATGATCAATCATGAATATCATTTCTATGTACCATTGTGTGTACCATTGTGTTGCTAATTAATACAAAATAAATCCTTCAAAGTAAATCATATATATTATATATATAAAGTAAATCACATCTTGGCATGTTTAATTAGTTCACACTCAAAAGGTAAGAATCAAAATCAATTGAACACATGCAGGTAACTGACAGAAGCTGAATAGAAACATTCAGTTTCCATGGACTTGCCGCCTGCCAAGCTCACCTCCGCCATGATGACCCTGCTCGTGCTAGACGTGCTTGCCTCATCGGGATGTGCCCGCCGCTCGCGCTGCCGCGCTTGCCTTGTCTAGCTCTTCCTTGCCGGCTTAGCCCAACTCTTCCTCGCCGGTGCGGCCATGGCGCCATGCCCTCGTTCTCCTCTGCGTGCTGCTCGCCCGCCCGTCCGGTGCCGGTGCCCTGCTTTCGCCCGCGATCGTGTCCCGGTCTTTGGCGCCACTGCCTGCTGCTGGCCCGGTGAGGATGAAGGGAAGAAGAAGATGGCTTCGATTTTTGGCGCGATTCTTTCACCTCGCGGCTGCAGCTGGATCCGCACGGCGTCGACTCAAGGCGACGGCTCGTACAACGTGAATCCTGCCGTCGAGTCCGCCTGGGAGCACGAGCCCTCGCTGTCGTCTCATGACGTGACGGCTTCGTTCTCTATCTAGTGAACTAGGGAGATTTTGCAAAATTACCGCTCGGAGACGACGGCCAGCACGCCCGCTGTACGTGCCCTTATTTCGTTCCCACCGAACGGATTAGTGGAGTCATTTATGAGACGTCCCTATAAACCGGTCGACTCTGATTAGTATGCCCATATGGTGACTAGAGACAGTATTCCATCATGATTCACGAGTCACTTTTATCAGCAGTAGGAGTCATGACAACGCATAATCTTATTGTGCACGTTAGCGCCAGCTAAGCCGGCACTCTCGTGGCGGAGCAAGCATCTGGCGGCTCAGAGTTTCTCTCGAGTACCTGCTTGCAGGCAAGGTGAGGTCTTTATCATGCAACATATGGGCTTCGTCGCTGGTCTATCAACGCCAAGCGTGTCAGGACAGAAGGCCTACGAGGGTCTCTTCGACGCTAAGCAGATGGCGAGAAAGGCTCGTGCAGGCAGCAGCGGAGACGCAAGGGCATTAGGTTGCACCGCTGTGCTTATATCGGTTGTATACCATTTGTGTAATATCAAAACTTGAATTCGCTTGCTAGGACAGTCCAGCCTTTGTCTGTCTTCCTGTCAATCTCCTAGGGCACTCGATAGAAACGCGTCGTTGATATGGTTAAACTCTTCTACCTTAATTAAAATGATGCGTAAATCTTTGTGTATTCAATGGAAACAAAAAAAACGTTAGCGCCAGCCTACAAACTTCAAATTCATGCTGAGCAACGACACTTCAAAGCCTCATAAAGTTCTCAAGAATAGGCTGCTCAACTAATTAATCGATTAACTGGGACCATGCATATATCTTTTCCTCTGTTGTGTTGAGAAGAAAATTAAAACAAAATCATCTTCTTGTCCTCTGCGACAGAGTCAGAGATCCAGTTGTATATCCACTTCACTTTAGCTTGCACTGACAGTGATGGAATCAGGGATAAAGTCAACATAACAAAGCTAGAGCTAGGTTATATGATCTGGCCTGTCTTATTATACGAGCAGAATATTAAAACTGACCCAGACAAGGCTTACAATGCCCGGATTCAGCTTACTAGCTAGATTTGCATCATGTGGCTGTAGACTTTAGGTTTCCTGGAAAGAAAAATTCCTATTACTTTCTACTGCCATTTGAGTGATTTTTACCTCTATGTACTGTACCTAACACTGCCAAAAGCTGCTCTGAAAGTGTACAGTGTAGGACAAGTGTACATTATATGACAGTGTATTTGAATACATATATATTAGAATATTAGAATAATTCTTTAAATTTTAGTGACTGATAATTTGATGCACCATCTGAAAGATATGTAAGCTTGGCTCAAACCAACCCTTCACTTTCAATAGGGACACAATAGGGGATCACACTACCAAGAATGTATCATGCGACACATCAATTTGATCAAACTTAAAGTATAAGTACATTGCTCATTCTAGTATTTTCCTGCGTACGATCTCAGATTTGAGTGAGCGAAAGCAAGAGGAGCAAGAGTTTTCGCATGAACTGGCGACTGATGTAGCATAAAGCTAGAACACCGCATGCTACCTATAGCCCCATCACATGCATTGTGTTCTGCAACTGTCCACACCCCAATAACTATCAGATGAACAATGAGCAATGTCATACAGCGTGTCATCGACGAAGTTGCTTTTCATCCAGAAGGAATCACAAACAAGAGCAATGCCATAGTTCTTGCAAATCTCATTGTAGAAATGTCATCGACCCAACATTCCAAAGATCACTAAAAGCAGAACTGCCCTGAAAGAGGAGGCAGAGGCACACTACAGAATTTTTTTGTCTCCTGAAATCTGAGAACCTGTACAGCAACTTGAGCATGAAGTTCAATTGAGTTACCCTAGGCCTAGCAACTGAGAAAAAAGAAACCCTTTGTAAACTTTGAGCAACGAAGGGCCAGATATTGAAAAAGGAAGAAAGCAAACCAACCTAACATTATGACAGCCAAGAAAGAAACAAATCAACCTAACATTATGCAAAGTTCCCCTCTAAAACGGAAAAGAGAAGAATTCCAAAAAGATCCTAGCATGGTGTTTGGAATGCCTGACGATTGCCAAATGCCAACAGCTCCTGCAATCCTCACTTAAGCAGGACCCCCTCTGCTGCTCATGGGACATGGCAACATTATGCTTAGATTCAATCTTCTAAAAAGCACCACACATAGATCTTACAAGATGTTTGGCACTTGTGCTGAGAGCTTTTCCTGCAGCTCCCTGATCTTTGAGCACAGTTCCACCTTCTGTTCCTTGTAGCTCTGAAGCACAAAGTCCTTTCCCTCGATGACTTCCTTCAGTTCAACAACCCCTTTCTTGAGCATCTCCACCCTCTCTACCTCTCCCTTCCTCTTCTCAATGCTAACACAATGCAGGTCAGCATCATCAACACTACCATCAGCATAGCCGTTGGAATGCCCATTTGCGGCATCTGACTGCCAATGTCCAGCTTGCAAAGGTTTCTCAAAAGAGAGTGCTTCTGCGACACAATGATCTGCAATAATCTTCCTTAGATGCTGAATCTCTCGTTCGGATTCAAACAGATCACAATTGGCAGCATCCAATTGAGACTGCAGATTGGTGGACTGTGTCACCTGAATGTTAAGAGAGTTCTTAAGATCAGCAATCTGAGTTTGCATCTCCATGATCATCTCATCACGTTTCTTGAGGTGCTGTCTTAGCTTCTGTATGACCTCTCTTTTGCTATAAATGTCAGATCCTGATTCTGAAACACAGGGAGAGCCAGAACTGTTAGAGTACTGAAATGGCCTTCGAGGATCTTCAAGCCGATCAGGTGAGGATATCCACATAACACCGCTGTTCTCTTTGCTTGATTCTGGCGTGGGTATCTTGACAAGTGGAAGTGAGGATTCAACTGATTTGGGTACAGGACTTGCAGGTGCTTGCTTGACTTCCAGTCCACCATTTGCAAGCCCTGCACATGGTAACAGGAATTAGTAATAACAAGTTTTGGAAAGAACTTTCATGCCACCAACAAAAGAAACAATAATGAACTAGTGTAAAATCCAACCCAAGAACTAAATTTATTAATTCAGTTCAATCAGCATAGTGAAAGCAACAGCCAGAAACAATGAAACTATCAATGTCTCTAAATGCCAAACTCGTATCAAAAGCTGGAAATTTGGTAGAATGGCATAATCATTAAGTCAGACTATTACTTTGTGGATATGTACGACTCTTATGCATGCAAACACCAGAGACCTGCAATGCAATTGTCCAACCCCCCAAAAATAGTCCAATCACCCCAAAATAGTAAGCACCCCCCCCCCCCCCCACACACACACACACACTCTCGGGCAAGAGAGCAGAAGAGACAGATACGCATACACAGCAACTACATATAAAAGAAGAGAGACAGAAATGTGGGCAGAGATGTATTGGCCTGCTTCGGAGATACAGCCCAGCACACTTCATTACCCTTGCACACATCCCCCTGCCTTGTCCTAACCTCCAGTCCACCCCACCGCAACATGCACATGGTACACACACGATTCCATGAGGCCGCAACCTCTAGAACCTGGCAACCTGCTGCTGCCAGCAAGGCAGCAGTGAGCCAGCGATGCACGGGCCTGCATGGCCTCCCACATGCCACAGTGCCGCACAATAGCCCCGGGAGCTAATCGGGGAGCACAGGCCACATAGTCAGCAGTGACTGGCAATGAATTTGTTCCCTCTCCCATATTCCATTTTTCTTCCTATATCCCTTCTCCCATAGTCAATTTTGCTAGGGCTTATTTCTCTCTCTTTCAGATCTAGTGTTCGTTTGCTTAACTTTTCCAATCCAGAAATGGCAGCAACAAGTAGTGCCATTGCAGCTTCTCAAAGCTCCATCAACATCAGGGCTCCATTGTTAGCTCATGTCATCATTATTATGTTTTTAAAAAATATACTAAAATGTATCTACGTATACATATCCTTGCTACATAGGTTCCCCCTATTGCATTAATGAAAGAAACTACAAAACTCCATCAGATAACTTCAAGGTTAGAGGACAGCGACAAAGGGCATTTTGTTTACAAGTTAACACAGAGCCAAACATATAACACAGGTCTAAAAACTTGCATTCTAAAATTGTATTCTAGCACTAAATTAATGTGTGCTGAAAATATTCCAAACCCTTCAGATTAAAAGGTCCACCAATAAGCAGGAAACAACCAATAGTCCAGGTTAGCCCCCAAACATGCCAGATCTGTATTCTAGCACTAAATTCAGTGCGATATAAACTACAATGTTCACAAATAAGTGAGTAACAGGAAACAGAACAGAGCAAAAGTTACAGATAAAGCACCTGACATACAGTAGTAGCAGCCAGTTTGGTCACTGAACCGGTAGAGATCTGAGTGCAGCTCACATGCTTCAGGCCTTCTTTTAGCTGCAATTTTGCACAGTAAGCAACCAGTGTACAAAGAATATGGAGACAAGATCAAGATTGCAACTGCAGATAGGGCATGAGATGACATAAGACCTTTGGAAGTATTATTTTGCTGCTTCCCATCGAACAACTGCTTTAATTTGCACCCAATCTTGACTGAAAGCGTGCTAAGCAAAACCCCGCCAGCAACAAGAACCCAGTTTGGCCCTTCTCCTTGGACCTGATTATCTCTCCCAGATTTCTGTAAGCTCCTACTCGTCTTAGTCTTCATCATACCGACAACCAATTTGTTCAGCCGAGTCTACAAAGATGGTACCTTAACCTGCAGAAATGAACCACAACCCCCATATTGGTGAAGGGGGAAAAATAGTTTCACCTAATAACCATAAGGACCTAATAAGATTCTGAAGTGAAGGAAACTAAATAATATGGCATTAATGAATGCGCAGGAAGAATGCAGATTCATCTCGCTGTGGAAGAACCATGAAAGCTAAAAACACGGCAATCTATCAATTTCTCCAACCGTACGTCTAAGAAATGGGAAAGGTTACAGAAACGTTTCATAAACCTTCAAGACAGCCTCCCCTAGGGTCTGCGGATTTAGGTTTCCCATTAAGGTTAATAGTCATTTTGGATCCCATTCAGCCCCATCCAGGCTCATTACCCAATGTCAACAACCATGACAGCAAGTAAAGTATCCACTCTGATAAAGGAATCAACCTAGGTCTTTTCCTTTTTAAGGGAATCGATCGACTAAAGATGCACCCATAACCACCGACACTCGTCTCAAAATTTTCTGACCTGTTGAGTCCCTCCTCCCTCCTCTCGGGAGTGCCATGCCAGGCGGCACAGGGTGATGCCGGATTCAGTTGCACCCGGACGCAGACGATTGGAGGCGGTATTCGGCGAGCCCCCGAATTCAGCGGAGGCGGCTGCGACTAGGGCTGCGGCGCCGTCGCCCGTCGTAGAGCGGCAGCGCGGTCGCGGACTGCTCGGTGCTCTGACGGCGCAGGTGGCGGCGAGGAGAGCAGATGGGAGTGGAAGGAAAGAAGGAGGCGGCGGTGGAGTCGAAGCAGATGCGAGACTCTGTGGAACTTGATGGTTCCCACCACTTTGCCTTTTTTCTTTTCTTTTGATTTTTTTTTTTTTCTTTTCGTAGCTGGCGGTTTTTGGAATTAGGGAGCCCCACGCTTTTTTTTTAAGCCTTCTGCCACGTAGGATCGGATAAAAAAGTTAGTGTTTTATATTTTCCTCCTTTGGCCAATAGGACTACGGAAAAGCACGGTAAACACCGTAGCTGGCGGTTGGACGGTTGGTTCATGCGAATTAGGCCTTCCCCACGCTAACTTTTTTTTTAAGCCTCAGCTGCCACGTAGGAGCGGATAAAAAAAGTTGGTGTTCCGTTTTGTTGTTTGAGATATTTTATCATGAAAAATAAATATTTCTACAAAACAAGTTATGCAATTAAGTTTGGCGTATGCAAGTATTTTATATACTTTGTATATTTGTATATGGAAAGAGTCATAATGCGGTCTCAATCGGGAAAAGAAGAGTGAGAGAAAATAAAGGTGAGGCATGATGAAAGGAAAAAGTTTCTTTAACCACAGGTAGTGATAGTTTGCATTGTGTGAATAGTAGTCTCAACATTTTCTAGTTTATATGGATCACTTTATTTGTACTCGAACTACTAAAAGTGTTAGCATCCATTAGTGGTGCCCTTAGGGGCTGGGATAAGGAGATAAGAGATGAGATAGGTTTTAATCCATGTTTGGATGGTGGGACAGGGAAATGACACTGCCATCTCCTATTAACCCAATGTTTACAAAATAGTTTAATTGATTCTAGTCACCATGGTATCAATAAACAACCTAACTAATCTCGAGACGATCAAATTGATATATTATTTGCTATCATAATAAAAGATATCAATTTTGCAAATTAAAAAATCGTGACTAATTATTCAAGATGTTCGAAACCAACAGGGTCCTAAAGTGAACTTTTCGAGAGTTGAGGGCCAATGTTATCCGATTTTTGAAGTTGGAGGTTGAAATCCATACTATCATGGATAGTTGGAGGTCCTTGAACTTTACCCTTATATTTATCATAGTATGGTATACTTAGGGAAAGAGAATTGGTCTCTCACAACAAACCCGACCACGGTAGTGATAGTTTGCATTGTGTGAATAGTAGGCTTATCATTTTCTAGTTTAAATCACATTTGTACTCGAACTACTAAAAGTGTTAGCATCCATTAGTGGTGCCCTTAGGGGCTGGGATAAGGAGATGTTTTAATCCATGTATAACCTATCGCCATCTCCTATTAACCCAATGTAAAATAGACTAATCATAATTAGTCAAAACAACTAATCCTCGACCAATCAACCTTGATAAACCTAGCCCACCATGGTATAGGTGGGCTTGAAACTTTGATGAGCTATGACACCACCCGATCACTTGTAGAACTTAATAACCTTGATAACCTAGTGGAGCTTGAAACTTTGATGAAGATCATGTCGACGAAGATCATGTCCTAGGTACGAATGAGAGTATATCATTTCAACTGTTAGTGTTTAAAATACAAAGAATTCCATCTATTCTATACATGATAGGTGTAGACATCGGTATTAAATCTTATCCACGGGTATAAATACTGGTATAAAATTTTACTTATTATTAGGCAATTCATGGCGGGAGATATTTACTCCACCCATACCTTGGTACGGTGGGATAATTTCATTCTTGTTTTTTATGGGAAGACTCCAACCGTTCGCCTGTGGGTCCTGACCCGCGCCAACAACAATTCACGCCTCTCACACAATGCCTCACGCACCTCCCACCCTGCTTACCTCCGCACGATCATGGACGGAAGAGCAACAACGTGCACAAGGGACCGCCACATCCGATCGATTTGTGGGGACAGGGACGTCCCTGAATCTCATTAGTCGACCCTCAACCAAACACAGTCTAAACTTTGATTGAGCCATCACATCCCCAATCATCCCTCAAAAAGCAAACACATAATTACTAACCCATTGCCATCCCTAGTGCTTGCTAATTTGTGAGGCCATTGCGGAGCCTCAAGCCAAGAGACCATAGCATGTAATGAGCGCCAGACATGTTAAGCTTGATGTTAGCAATGCTACATGGTTTATTATTACATGCATCTTTGTTAGAAATTTTTTTTATTGTGACCGGCATATTTGACAAGTTTAAAGGCTCATACAAAAGGTTTAAGAACTGTTGTTCATGTTATATTACATCTTTCGTCCTTTTTAAAGGGGTCTAATTTAGTTTACTTAAATGTGATTCAACTAAAACTCCCAAAATCCCCAATATATGTTCAAAGCAAAGAACCAAGGCCCAACACATGTACAAATCTAGATATATGTCCTGTTCGCTTGGCTGATAAGCCATGGTTGAAAGTATTGTTGGCTGATTTGTTATGAGAGAAAAATACTGTTCGTTAGCTGAAAAATACGGCTTATAAGTCAAGCGAACAGGACGATAGTTAGCCAAGTTTAATTTGATAAATCAGTGTGCCACAAAATACACGAATAGAAAAACACATAGTATCCCGATATCTTGAGGCAACCAAAATAAAAGGAACACACATGGAAGCTGCAAGTTGGATGGAGCGCACATGCATGAAAGACAAATGATTTTCTTCAAAAGGCTGGGCACCGTACTAAAGATTCGTATGCAATAGATAATTCTTGTTTCACCCGTCTCTGTTTTTTTTGTGCACATAGGCGTCTTTTACAGCTGACAACCGTGTATCTGCCCGTGGAGGCAATTGGTAAGATTCGTACGCAATAGATTATTCTTATTTGACCCGTTTTTTCAGTGTTAGAGAGGAAATTTTTTAATAGAATTCTAATTATTCTATAAAATTATCCAACATTGAAAATAACGAGCTATAGCAGCACTACAGCGGCTACAGCCTCTCCCTGCTACATTTTTGCTTTTTTTTCCTACGTTATGGCCGCCATTGGCACTATATTAGGTGATAGCGACACTAAACAGCTTAACAAGCTATTCATTTAGCAGCACTAAATAGATTACACATGTTATGTTAAGCTAAGAACTTAAACAACCGATATTTGATTGTCTAGTTGGTCAGTTGGTGTTTACTTATGTATTAGGCTATTGGACAAGTGCTAATGTTATATACTCTCTCCGTCCTAAAATAACCAACTTCTAGAATCATCCTAAGTCAACATTCTTAAGTTTGACCAACTTTAGAAAAGGTTAACAACATCTACGACACCAAATAAGTACATAATGAGAAATATATTCCAAGATATATTTAGTTATATTAATTTAGTGTCATAAGTATCGGTATTCTTTTATATAAATTTGGTCAAATTTGAAATAATTTCACTTAGGATAATTCTAGAAGTTGATTTAAATTTAGGATTGATGGAGTATATCTTATCTACTTTTTATCTCTTATTTGTGTTATGTGAGCAATCATTTACATTTCTGCTAGAATAATGGATGTCATGTCCTATAAATCGCATGTACTTTGCTAAAAGGGTAAATGCCTTAGCGACCGCCATAGCTGTCCTAGCGGCTTGAGCAAGGTACCCCTAATTGCTAAATACCGTTGCCCACATTTTCAACCTTGGATGAATTCTCTTATGTTTCCTTCATTCAAAGTCAAAGGCCTTGTTTAGTTCATTTTTCTAAAGTTTAGCCCCTTATCACATTGAATGTTTGACACATGCATGTAGTATTAAATATAGACTAAAAAATAACTAATTATATAGATTGAGACTGATTTGCGAGATGAATTTTTTAAGCTTAATTAGTCCATGATTTGACAATGTGGTGCTACAGTACACACGTGCTAATGACGGATTAATTAGGCTTAGTAAATTCGTCTCGCATATTACTAAAGACTTGTGTAATTTGATTTATTATTACTATCCGAACACTCCCATATGACACTCCTATTATATGCATGTATGGCACGGCTCCAAATGGCTTCACCTTCTCGTGACATCCACGAAGAAGTTGGAGCCAACGAAATAAAAAAGATACTACAGTAGTTCCTCTATCTTTTAGTCTATATTTTGAAAATAAAAATAAAAATGACTCATTTGTGTATTGGTTCCAAGACGGAGAGCTTAGTCTGATAGGTGTTGGTACGGCATGTACTCTATTCATCATGACCGTAATCTTCCGTTCTGTTGTTACGTACTAGTACGAATAAAACTCCCAGGATCATTTCTGATTTCTCAAAAGAAAGAAAAAGACAGCAGCAACAGATGATCGGAAGCCATCGTGGCGTGCAATCAAGGCCTCAACTTGCACGTCCTCATTAACCATAACCACCACGGCCACTCGACCTGGGCCCTGGGCACACGGCCGGCCGGCCGGGACCAGGGGTCCACGATGCATTCACTTCACCTGATGCCTTGTCTCCGCTCCGCAGCAGTAGAAGACGACTGACCGTGCGGGGGGCCCCGCCTCGGCAGCGACCGTCGGGTAGTTTGTTTGTTCTGCTTGGGGCCGTCGGGCCGACGCCGACCGCGACCGGAGGCCTGGCTGCCTCTGCTGTACGAGTAGGAGTACTCTGTCACGTGTGGAGCGGCCGGAGCCCGGAAACGCTACTGCCCGTCCGCTCGGAGTGCTCCTGTTTTGGACCATTCCTGTTGCTGAGTGAGTATAGAGGGCTAGTGGCGATCGACCCGGCGATGCAGTCGTCATGTAGGCCGGCTGGACATCGGAGGCGTTGCAATCAGGAATCAGCACACGGTGACTTGGCAGGAAGCTCTAGCTTCTTTCTTCTTGGATAAGGCAAAAAAAAGGGAAGATTTTGGAGGCCTTGCGTTGGGTTCTCTCCGCACATGGACGACTAGGGCCCGGATGTCTAGTCTTGAGAATTTCTCTGTTTATGCTAGCCTAGATGTGTGAAAGGACGTACCGCCATACCCGATAGTTCTAGATGTTGCCTAGCTAGAGGGAGGATTGAATACGTGTCTTCTCCTCTGAAATCATAAAACTCGTACCAGAAGAATTAGACGTTAGAAGTTCCGACTTAACACCCAAAGTGTCGACCAAGACCGGGAACTTTCAAGTCCACTTGGATTGTCCGACTACAAAAGGCATGCCTGAGCAAATTCTAGCTCAAATGAAATGCTACTGCATGTTTTGGATGAGGTTTGTAAACTTTTCGGTGGAACTCAGATTCATGAGCAAGTAGATTAGGCAACTATGATAAAAACTTCATTGAGTTTAAGAGCAGTCAAATCAAAGAGGGAGGATATAAGGGTTGCTTCCCTAAATTCAGATTCAGGAAGAATCCTACGTCTCTGTTGAGAGACTCGTGAATATATCAGGCCTCTTTCGAACCTAGACCTCACCAAGGAATCATAAAAGGTCAGTCGGGCTTGCTCTTGATTTCTTCCGTCGTGGAGGTGAAATTCACTAATGGCTACTTCCACTCTTGCAGCATATAGACTTATTATAATAGGAAATCCGGTCATAAATATTAACCAAAAGACAACAAGTGTACACATGATTGCAATATATAAGATCAGCCATTTACTCTTACACCCATTATATGCCTTATTAAACCAAATGACCAATTAGTATTTATTCTGTCTCACAAATTATGTACCCAGTTGCACAAATCATCCTATATTGCTCTTAGGATTGAACAAGAAGAAAAGAGTAAGAATGTTTCCCCACAAAACTGTACAAGCCGAAGACATTGGCTCTCTTGTTATCCTGATGCTCTAGACAAAACTGATAGCCTTTCTTTATATAAAAAGCACAGCTACAAACTCTTTTTCCTAAACCGTGCAATGCACGTGTCCATCTACAAATATCTCAGACTGAGTGTATGATGCGCAGATAGCAAGCCCCTCACATTTTTTTTCTTCTAAATTGAACCTGCAAAATGGTTCAATTAACACGTGGTACTTAGATAAGGGATGTTCTGAAACCATAAAGATCCTCTACCAATCTTTTTTTTTTTGACAAAATTTCTTAGGAAGTGAAAACCTGATATGCGCTTGTGGCTCCAGCAGAATGCATAAATAAACAGTCAGAAGTCCCATGTTCAGCTTCTCAGGCCAGTCAGCAGCACCATTCTACAGAACTCCATCGATGCACAGTTCTAGAAAAAATAAACATAATTCCAGATTGATGATTGTGATTCCATAGACAAATATATTCTTCGCAGTTTAAATTCAAAATAAAGTTAATAGCTAAGTTTATATAACTAACGCTTTGACTAAAAAAAATTGTACCATACGGACAAAAAGAGTACAAGGAGTGGTCTGGAAAGCTCATGAAACATGTGTCAAGAAGTTATGTTGTTTTTTAAAGAAATGTCAGAATTCATGCACCATTACTGGACTATTTCTCCATGGTCCTGGACCTTTACTTTCATATTGCTTAGTCAACATATATTAAATGTTACTTGAGGTCATATGTGGAACAAAACGAATTTGATATCATATATCTACTTCAAAAGCTTTCAGCAGGGCATTATAAACACACAATGAGACGTCACAACACTACAACATAAAGAGTCAAATAATTACCTTTGAGGGCATGAACACAGTGTGACTGTGCATCCAAAAATCCATGATCTATGCGATTATGGCGTGCATTGCTTGACACAGGCTGTGCTTGAAAAAACAAGCACCTGATGAGCACAGATTGACTGATGGAGAGTTTGATGTGAGCTCTGAATGTTTTAGTTGACATTGACAACCTATTCCCTGGTGGACAATTCCTCTGTCAGCATTGCATACGTTTCATCACTTGGTTTGCATTTCATCTGTTCTAATATGGATATCATGTCATGGCACATATCTGGATGACCCTTTCTTATCAAGCCATCAATTATAACTTTCCATACAATTTCATCGGTATTGTACTCTTTCCATCTCAAACCTCTGAATATTTCTTTAGCTCTATCTGCTTGTCCTTCAGCAGTAAGCCCAGAAAGCAGTTGCTGGTAAGATATTAAGTTTGGTAAAAAACCATGTCCAATCATGGAGCAAAGCAATGCCCAAGCATCAGGATATATCCTCAATTTACAAAAGCAATTAATAAGAGCAGTGTATATATCTTCATTCAGAGGTAGATTATCTTCTTTCATACAAGAAACCAAGGAAGTCACCTCATCCAATTTTCTATCTTCAGAAAACGCCTCCAGGATGGCCAAATAAGCTCTTGCACTAGAAGGAACGCTGTTCTTCTTCATTAGCTCAAATAATTCAAAGACATCAGCAAGCTCTATAGTCTTCCACACAGAAGTACGTGTTCTGCTAGCCTCCTCTGTAAAAGATGTCTAAGCAAGATAAAAAAGGTAAAATGATTTGGCATAGAAGCAACACCCGTCATGTGCTTCAAGATTGTAACTGCATGATCTGTCTGCCTGATACTTGTATGGCCATCAATCAAAGTGTTATATGCCATTGCATCTACAATGATCCCACCTTTTTTCATCTCCATCACAACATTTTCTGCTTCATCAAGCCTGCCTTCATTGCAGTATGCACGCACAGAAGTAGTATAAGTGACAACATCAGGACTGCACCCCAGTGACACCATTTGCCCCCAAATTCTTGTGGCTAATCCATAGTTCATCTCCTTGAAAAGTCTGTCAATTACAATTGTATAATTAACCGTCGAAGGCATGACATCCTTTTGTAGCATCTCATCTATAAAGGATAATCCTGCTTGTGATCCCTTCGTCTCGCATAGATTTTCAATGAATGGACTATATGTATAGGTATCGGGTGCACAACCTGCTGAAACCATCTTTTCCAAAAATGTGCAAGCAACATCGAATTTACCAGCCTTGCATAAACCATTTATCACCGTATTGAATGTCACAGAATTAGGTCTTATGCCTCTATATTCTAGGCCATCAAAAAGAGAGAAAGCTTCATCAACTTTCCCAGTCTTACAAAGAGCATCAATCAACACATTGTAAATGTACTGATCAGCAGCTAAACCATTTCCTTGCATCAAACGGAGTAATCTGAAAGTGCTCTCTATATGCCCATCAATGCATTGGCCTCGAATCAACAAATTGTATGTCACAACATCTGGCTCTATTCCACATTCTCTCATCTGGTCCAACAAAGCCATTGCTTTGTACACTTTCCCAACATTACAGAAACCTTGCACCATTGCATTGTATGTCCAGACATTTGGTTCACACCCTTTCAACTTCATGGATTCAAACACCCTCAATGCATCACTCATCCTCGCCTCCCTGCAGTATGCATTCATGACAGCGGTGCATGTTACAACACAAGGCACCAACCCATTGTCAAACATCTCATTCAGCATTTTCTCAGCCTCTTCAGCCTTCCGTTCCCTACACCATAAATCGACCAGTGCTGCATAGGCACGGTTGGTTGGCCTCCATCCCAGCTCCTTCATCTTCTGCAGCATACATAGACCCTCCTCCCCTCTCCGGGCATCACACAGCCCCTTTACCAAGGCCGCGTGCGTGTACATGTCTGGTTGCTCCATCTCCCTGAACAACTCCAGTGCCTCATCAATCCTCCCTGACTCACAAAATCCTTCGATTAGAGCAGTGTAAGCGACTGCATCTTGTGAGAACCCTCTAAACGGCATTTTGTCGAACAGGTCTTGGGCTACTTCCAGCTGCTGCGTGCGGCAGTAACCCAATATCAGGGAGTTGAACGTGAAGGCGTCGGGGCGCCAACCGGAGCGGACCATGAGGCTGAGGTACCGTTGGGCGTGGCGGAGATCGGCGCGGCGGCAGAGGGCACGGATGAGTGCATTGTAGGTAGCACCCGTAGGTGCAGGCGGGGCGCGGTGGTACATGTGGGCGAATAGCCGGACCATCAGCGGCGTCAGCGCGTAGCGGGAGAAGCGGGTGAGGAGGAAGCGGAAGGGGCGGTCGAAGAGTGGACGGAGCGTCGGCGGGGAGAGGGCGTGGAGGCGGAGCACGACCGGGAGTGAGATGTCGAGGAGGTGGCGGGACGGCGCGGGCGACTGCGGCCGCGAGGGGGAGCGGGAGCGGGACGAGGAGTGTGCGAGGTAGGGACGGCGCGAGGAGGGCAGGGAGCTGCGGGAGCGAGGGGTGGAAGCGCCAGTCCGGCGAGGAGAGCACCCCGGCGAGATGCGCGATGAGCGCGGCGGGGGACGGCGAGGGCGGAGGGGATGCCATGGGGTGGAGGCGTTGCGGGGAATGCCGGAGATGGATGAGCTGGTGGCGGCGGCGGTGACGACCGGGGGTCCGTTTGCACGTCAGGAACTAGAGACGGGACCGCGACACGGCGCCGGCGCCATTGTTGGGATCTCGTGTGCCAAACTGCCAAGGGCCGATTGCGCCGAAGGGTTGGCCTCTTAGGCAAATGGACACATTAGTTAATTGAGACAATTTCATATGTGCCATTAAAAAAGATCGTCATGTTCTGTGTGTCTCTAAAAAAGTTCATCGGTCTTCAGCGCCATTACTCCAACTTTTTTGTGTCCTCCATGCTACTTTCGTCAGTTTAGGCTCTAACGCCGTCAAACTGCAAGTGTGAAAAGACGAAAATACCCTTAAGTCTAAATATGTTATTAATTTTTTTGAGCATCTTAACGACTTTAAATGAAAAAACTCAAAACTAGAAAGTTGTAGATCTCGTCGAGATCTATAATTTTTATATAAAAATTATTTTTATTTAATTTCGCAAAAAATAATAATATGATTTTTTAAGATATATTAATCATATCAAATCAATTTTTTTTGCGGAATTAAATAAAAATAATTTTTATATGAAAATTATAGATCTCGAAGAGATCTACAACTTTCTAGTTTTGAGTTTTTTCATTTGAGGTCGTTAAGATGCTAAAAAAAATTAATAACATATTTAGACTTAAGTGTATTTTCGTCTTTTCACACCTGCAGTTTGACGGCGTTAGAGCTAAAACTGACGGAAGTGGCATGGAGGACACGAAAAAGTTGGAGTAGTGGCACTGAAGACCGCTGAACTTTTCCAGAGATACACAGGATATTTCGATCTTTTTTAATGGCACCCAGGAACCCCTTTGTTCAAGGGGGGCACTACCGTGGCCGTCGATCTGCATCCTTACGGCCGGGGCTGCTCTCAACTTTAGATGGGCCGGTGGGACGAAACGGCCCAAAGGCCACTTGGCCGGCCATGTCCCAGGTCAGGAAGACGCAAGCCTGTGTGACTGCGCTATAAGAAAAAACGTAGGGAGTATATTTATACTAGTGAAGGCCGCGCGCCTTTGCGCGCCGGTAAGTGCATAAATTCAAGTTTATAAAGGTAGGGCTCGTTTGCATACATATCTGGTTGGTTGCCGGTTCGTAAAAAAATACTGCTAGCTGATTTGTGTGAAAGAAAAATATTATTTTAGCTGGAAATTTACGATCGTTTACAACAAGCCACAGCCAAACGATCAGGCTGTATAATGGATGAGGGGGAAAGAGGGGGGCACTGCAAAATCAATTGGGTCTATGCTATTTAGCTCTGCAACATCTTTGTGTTGTAGCGGAGTAACTTTGCCCTGTTCGTTTGGTATGGTTGAAAGTACGGTTGGCTGATTTATTGTGAGAAAAAATATTATTCATTAGTTGAAAAAATACGACTTATAAGCCAAACGAACGTACCTCTCGAGGCGCTGTGCCTGTGCGTTTCTTTTCAGAGTGTGTTTAGTTCGCGAATTTTGGAAATTTGGCTACTGTAGCACTTTCATTTTTATTTGACAATTAGTGTTCAATCATGGACTAATTAGGTTCAAAACGTTCGTCTCGCAATTTCCAACCAAACTGTGCAATTATTTTTTTTTCATCTACATTTAATGTCCCATACACGTATCACAAAATTCGATGTAATGGTTACTGTAGTACTTTTTGAAAACTAAACAAGCACTCAGTTTCTTTGGCTGCAGAAACGGATAGGCAGCGTGCTTCCTGGCCGCTGACTTGTAGTACTATCATCAGCCATCACACCATGGGTGTGCGTGTGCTCTGAAACACGGTTTCCACTGCCGCAGCGCGTTGGCGGCAATTAATGCAAGGTCAAGTCATAAACTAGAAAACTAATCACATGTGGTGCGGGCTAACAACTCCCAGACAGAGTTTGCCATCACTAGCTGGAGTCCAAGTGCTGCTACCAGTATCACTTTACACACAGTCAGGCACCCACCACCCACCAGGGCAAGCAATTGCTAAGCTCTCCAGTGTCTCTTGCACGGCACTTCGTTCAATTCCGAGGCTTGAGCAATCCGCGCGCCGGTAAGGAGAACCGGCGATGAAGGTGAATGCCGAATCATCACTTTCCTCTTCCTGAAATGCATGTCTCCGTCGCCATCGTCTTTCCTCTTTTACTACAGTAGTACTGAACTGGGCATACATGCATGCTCTCCGTCCTTGCCGCAGCAAAAGATCGTGATCAGGGTGCAGATGGAGTGCGACCGGTGCCGGTCCAAGGCGCTGGCGCTGGTGGCGGCCACGGGCGGGGTGGACTCCGTGTCGCTCGCGGGCGACGGCAGGGACCAGGTCGTCGTCGTGGGCGACGACGTCGACTCCGTCAAGCTCACGAACGCACTGCGCAGGAAGGTCGGACCTGCAGAGATCGTGCAGGTCGCCGAAGCCAAGGAGGGGGGCGGCGGCAACAATCCTCCGGCCGCCACCGCCACCGCGCTGCCCGAGTTCGTCGCGTCGAGCCCGTGGTACTACCAGCAGTACCCGCAGCCGGCGGCCGTGGTGTACGAACATCCCGCGGAGGGGTACGCGTGCGCGTACGGGTACCAGACGCGGACTGACAGCATCTGCTCCATAATGTAGTGTAGAGAGCCGGGTTCTTCCATGGAGGGATTGACTTCACTTGATTTTGTCTTTGGGCTTTTGTTTGTTGATCCGTGATCGGTGATAGGTAGTCTTTCCCGAACAATCTTTGTATCTGTACCAGTGAAGGCCGCGCGCCGGTAAGTGCATAAATTCAGGTTTATAAAGGTAGGGCTCATTTGCATACGTATCTGCGGGAATATAATGGATGAGGGGGAAGGAGGGGGGCACCGCAAAATCAATTGGGTCTATGCTATTTAGCTCTGCAACATGTTTGCGTTGTAGCGGAGTAACTTGTATCTGCCTAGGTGGCTGTTCCTCAGATGGTGGAGGTCGTTCTATGTAAACGGGCTGATCTTTGAACCTGTTTCATGAGCTCATCAAAATTCCATGAGCATGGATCATATAGTCCGAAGCTGGTATTTTTAGACTGAGGTAACAGAGATATAATAATTTGCAAATTAATTTTATGAGTTCTTAGCATAGTGCTGCATAGGTCTTACCTGGAGTAAAATAGTTGGGCCTCTTCGATTTTGGGATTCAAATAGTAAGAAAAGGCGGTGCCACCACTGACATAGACTGTATCTGTAATTTAGGGCCTGCTTAGTTTGTAAAAAAATTTGCGCAGTACCCATCACATCGAATCTTACGGCACATGCATGGAGTACTCAATGTAGACGAAAAAAAAACTAATTGCACAGTTGGATGAGAAATCGCGAGACGAAACTTTCGAACCTAATTAGTCCATAATTAGACACTAATTGTCAAATACAAACGAAAGTGCTACAATAGCCAAAACCCAAAATTTTTTGCATCTAAACGCGCCCTTACCGAGAATGACATTGGTCCATGTATAAAGGACGTATCCAGTGCAGAGAGCTCTCGCTCTGTGCGGGATCTGGGAAAGGGTGTTAGTGGCAAGCCTTACCCTCGTCTGTGCAATACGAGGAGAGTATAGTTTTTTTATATCTATAACTAAGGAAAATGTAATGTAAAATATTCTCAAGAAATAAGATCTTACTGAATATTTTTGTAAGCATGCAGCTAACAAATATCTTGTCACTGTAGTGCCTCTTCGAGGCATAGGATCACATTTGTAGCACATATCGGGGACGGCAGTTGGCGCCGCCGTCGCCCCAGCCTTGCGGCGCGAGGAGGGAGGGGCGTGGAGGAGGAGGAGGCTTGCCACCGCTGCGCCGAGGGCCGGCCACCGCTGAGCTCGCCTTGCGCCGCCACTCGGTCGCGTCGGGAGGGGAGGGAGCGAGCGAGCGAAGAGGAGAGAGACCGAGAGAGAGAGACGAGGGGGAGAGAAGTTTCCTGAACGAGAAGCAGAAGTCAGAGTATATATTTGCTCTACCGGATTCAGACTAGAAGCAGCGGAAGCTGGTAGAATCCACTCAGAGCGACAAGGAGCTGGACAAAGCAGATTCTAAACGAAGCGGCTGCGAGCAATCCGGGCCACACAATGGAAGATCGGACGGTCGTGGATATTTCGGGCGGTGTGGACGTGATTTCTAGGCGACGTGCCGACGATGAAAGGTGGTGGCTATATATATATATATATATATATATATATATATATATATATATATATATATATATATATATATATATATGGAGAATTGTCTGTTGGATATGTAAAGTGATGGTCATTTACTGGCGAACATCCATTTTTTAGCATTTTGCCATAAGACACTCTGGTTTGGTGAAATTAAGCCACAGGACATCGCGGACCGGTTGCAGCCGGTTGAGAAGAGAGAACAGCGGTGAAATGACATTCTTGCCCCTGCCGCTTTCTTCTTCCTCTCTCCCTTTCTCTTTTTTTCTATTTCCTGTCCCCGCCACCCTCTCCGCCTCCCGCACCCGCCGTCGTGCATCACGCCGTCATGGGTATTTGCATTCGGCCGACGGCGCGCCTTGGCCAGCTGGGCGCCCCGCGCCTGACCCTCGCGCCTCCAAGGCGCGCCTTGGCGTCGCGCCCGGCGCCTAGGCCAGCGCCTCGACATCCGCGCCTGGCGCCACGCTCCGACCTCCGCCTCCCGTGAGTGTCGCGACCCTGCGTGCTTTCGTGCCACGCCCCACCTGCTGGCCGACGCGAGCCACGCCCGCGATCGTGCTCTCAGGGGCGGCGTCGCGCGTGCTCCCTCCCCGCTCTCTCTCTCGATGGTGCGCGCGGCGGCTGGCGGCGAGGGGTGACGGTGACGCTGTTGGGTTGGGCCACGGCCACGTGACATATGGTGGCGGCGTCGGAGGAGTCCCCAGCATGACGCAAATGGGCTCGCAGATGGGCGGGCGGGGGGCGGGCGAGGAAGGGGCCGTGGGAGGCAGGGCAGAGCCGGCTGCGCCGGGTGGCGGCAAGGTAGGGTCGG